TCCTTCCATAATGGAATAAAGATTAGTTTCCCTCTTCCCGCTTCCCAGTTTGCTCAATAAGAGGAAGTGTAGTGCTTCCAGATTATTCTAAATCAAAGTGATCTTATAGGACAGAGTAGAACTGTCTCCTAGACATTCCCAGAATCCTACTGTGGTGTTGTGACTTAATGCACTGGACAGCAAAGTCCGTTTGAAGTTCAAGGTCGGCTCCTTGGAAATTCTATACAGGGTCGCTATGGGTAGGAACAGTCTTGATGGCGCTTAACAACAACAGTAACAAATGAACATTCTTAGGTTGTAATTTTTAAGGCAGCAGAATACCAGGTTATTATTCCCAGCAGAGCTGTTGGTTCGTTCCAAATGCCGACCTTTCAGTTAGCAGCAGAGTGTTTAACCATTTTCCACCAAGTCTCCTTTGTGCAAGGGGGAGGAATGGGTAATTCTGGATCAGAAAAAGTTGGGCCCCACCTGTGCTCCTCGCCCTCCAGCAGGCGCCGGTAGGTGGCGATCTCAATGTCCAGGCCCAGCTTGGAGTTCATCACCTCCTGGTACTCCTTGAGTAAGCGGGCCATGTCCTGCTTGGCCTTCTGCAGGGCCTCCTCCAGCCCAGCCAGCTTGGAACTGGCATCGCTGAGGGCTGCCTCGCCCTGCTGCTGAGACTGGGTCATGGCAGCCTCTAGCTTGGAATTCTGGGGAAGAAGAGAATGAGATGAGTTATGGTTCCTGGGTCTCTCTGTCCATTTCCTGGTTTTGCTCAATTTCTACCGCCCAGATGTGAGCAAACCTCCCAGAATATGCCTCTCTCTACTTACTCTCTTGGGTTTTTCTGAGTGGCCACAACCAGAGATGCTAGTCATTTAAATGGGCTGGGGAATTAGTGGAGAGATTGTGAAGTCTCTGACATTTTGGCCCAGGGAAGGCCTTCATCATCTCTGGTCTTGGACACAGGCTGACCCATACCTGGCCCTTGGCATTCTCCACCTCAGCTGTCAGCCTCTGGACCTTTCGGTTTAGCCCGTTGATCTCCTCCTTGGTGCGTCGAAGAGTCTCTCCGTGCCGGCTCACTGTGGCCTTCATCTCCTCGCACTGAGTGTGTGTGTGGGGGAAACAGGGAAGCCCATCAAGATAGCAGGAATGATGGTGCAGGTTGTCCAGTGCTCAGCCTGCACAGCCTCACATGGCAGTTCTGACTGTGCCTCCCCAAGGAGAGCTGTCTGTCCTCCCTAATCCATTCCTAGGGAAGGACCCCCGCACTGTCTAGTGCACCAGAATCCACAGGCAAAAGAAGACTTTTCTACTCTATGCATCTTTGTCACTGACCTGTCTAGGAGACAAGTTCCACCAATTACTCACCTTGCTGCGGTACCAGGACTCAGCCTCAGTCCTGCTTCGACTAGCGATGTCATCATACTGAGCCTTGATCTCAGCGATGATGCAGTCCATGTTCAGGTCTCGACTGTTGTCCATTTGGACCACGACGGAGGTGTCTGAAATGTGGGAGTTGAGAACCCGGATCTCCTGCAGGGTTGGGGTGGACAAAGGGACAAAGAAGAAACATTAGAACATAACCCCACCCACCACAGACTGACCCAAATTTACAACACCCCTGGGCTTCAGTATCTTCCCTGCAGTGAGCATCATGGACTGCACCTCCCAGCCAATGCTCTGTCTGACACCTCAACACTGGGTTTGAGTCCTTCTCTTCTAGACTGGCTTCCAGGGTTTCTGTTTTTGGCCCCTCACCTCCTCATACAGATGTCTCAAGAAGTCAATCTCCTGGGTCAGAGACTCCACATTGGCTTCCAGATCTGACTTGTGAAGATAGGCGCAGTCCACCTCCTGCATACGAATGAGACATGATAGGCTGTCGGGGTCTGTTGCAGCTTCAAAAGGTCATTTTTTCCATTCCCCCTGTCTCTAGGTAAGATTTACCTTGACAATTCTATACAGCCATGAGTCCCACTGTCCTGAGCAACCCTGGCCCCTTTGCACCCATTTATTTCATCTTAACATCCAAGACAGCACCTACTGGTAAATGTGTCCTTCACTTTGCTATGACCAAATCCCTTTTAATGGATCTGAAAGTCAGAGAAGAAATGAAATCTATTTCCCCTAAATTCTCCCTGCCCAAATTCTTTCTTTCTTCTTCAGTGTCACCAGGATATTCTATTATATGTTGACCGACTGCACAGGAGTCTCGTGCCAAGAAACAGGCTCCATGTTTATCTGAATTTGCTTATCCTTTGCTTTCCAGGGTCTCTGGGGCACTCTGACATCTATTTTTTGGTTCAAAGCCCAAGTCAATCCTTTCTTAACCCATTATAAGCCTGACATTGGACATTAGCCCTTGTAATAGCCTCTCTTCCACCTATGTTGCCCCTCACTCCTGTGGAGCCTTCTCCTCACAACACAGAAGGCATGTTCTCAGACTCCCCTTCCTCTCACTACTTCTTGGCTTTGTTATTAGCTCTAGAGGTCTATGTTCTGGGCCCTGAGCCAGTGTCTCCATCAGTCTGGGTGACTCTGAGGGCAATCTCCTTGGGTTCTTTCCATATTCATAGAGCCCCTCCTGGCCTCCTGACACATAATCTACAGATGAACACCCACCTTCTTCAGAGCCACAAATTGATTCTCTGCTGAAGCCCTCAGAGCCACTTCCTCCTCGTACCTGACATGGGAGGAGGGAAGAAGAAGGCATTAGGTTTCTCTCATGTCTCTAGAGAAGGCTTTCTCAAGAGAAATGGGTGGAATCTGAGTGAGATCCCTTCTCCTGAGCAGATTGGTACTGCTTTAAAAGGACTTCCCACCTTGGTCCTTCTTCTTTGGAAAGGGCACAAAGTTCATGCTTCCCAGGCCCAGGGAAATCCTCCACACACTTGTGGCTTGAAATTCATGCAGGGTATCAGCAGCCTATTAAATTGGATGTTTCCGGAAGACCTCATACAGATTACCTGCTCCATAAACACTTGTGCAATATTGCACGAGCTTTGTCAAATCTCTCTAAGGAACAAATCTCTTGCAAAGATTCGGGTAATGCTCACTGATCAAGTCATCCTAATTCTGACTTCAACTTCTAAATTTCCAAAACAGAAACCCACGAGGGGTGAGGTCAAAGGATTGAAGAGTTTTGAGGAAGTCTGGGTAATCCAAGTGATGTCCGTTCAAACACAAACTCTGTAAATGTCTACCTTCGGAAGAGTAGCCCAGGGAAATTAACAAAACTCTGAGGTTTCAAATCTCACACTCTATATAGCTACTGGTCTTCAGCTAATGGACCAAAGGTATTTGCAAGGCTGGTGTATCTGGCCCCGAGGCTCAATGCCAACACAGAACTGCTGTCTGCTGCACTCACTTCTTCTTGTAGCCCTCCAGCACCTCATGCACATGGTTGAGTTCTGAGGCCAGTCTCCCGCTGTCAGCCTCCACACTGTCAGCCTCTTGCCTCAGCGTCTCGATGTAGCCCTCAAACAGGGGCCCCAGGTTGCTCTCTCCGCCCTTGCGGTTCTGGTAGAACTGCAACTTGGTCTCCAGCAGTTTGTTCTGCTGCTCCAGGAAGCGCACCTGCCATGAGGTGGGAGAGAGAGTCAGTTGACCTGAACAGTTCTCAGAGATGGGGCTTTGCTGAAGTGCTAGCCCATGGATGGTTCACTGGTAGAGATGGAAAGTGGGTAGAAATTACATAATTAGAAACTGAACATACTCATGTTTCTCCAAAGGGAATCCAACCAATTATTGAGCAATATCTGATTTTGGATTCAGAGAGTTG